TCCCTCAGCGTGTCCTCCGCCTGTCCAGCTGCAGTCGGCGTTACCGTCTGCCTCCTCTCTCCCTGGTCCTGCTCCTTACACTGGTCCGTCTGGAGGTCTTACTGAGCGGCATGAGCCTGCGTCTCGTACTGCGTCGCCTGAGTCTCGTCCTGAGTCGCCTGTCCGCACTCCTCTCTCGAGTAGTCGAGTCCAGCGTCAGCGTCTTCTTGCTGTCCTAGGCACTCACCGGATGGCGCTTCGTCCGTCCACTGCTCCACAGCGTGTCCCACTGCCGTCTCCTCCTGCTTCCTCTCTTCCTGCTCTTGCTGACTCTGGGTCAGACTCTCTTCGTGCTACCAGTCCTACTGTCACGCGTCTCCTGGCTACTGTTGTCACTGACCCTTCCTTTGAGTCTGCTGCTGCGTCTGCCTTAGTTGCTGAGCTTGTCGACTTTGCTGCTCGCTATCGTCTAGACTACGCTGCTAGCCTAGTTGCTGAGTCTGAGTCTGTCTGTCCTCCGTCCGTCGGGGGTGAGTGTGCTCTTGGCACTGACGTCCTTGAGGACAGGCAGGAGGAGTTTGAGTGCTTTGCTGCCGCTTTGCCCCATCTCGTGTCCATGCTTGTTGCCCCTGAGGGAGACCCGGATGCACCAGACATCCCGACCCCACGCTCTTACGCAGAGGCGATGGCCGGTCCCTACTCCTCTCAGTGGCAGTCAGCCATGGACACAGAGATGGCTTCCTGGAAGTCCACAGGCACCTGCATCGACGAGGTTCCCCCACCTGGGGCGAACATCGTCAGGGGCATGTGGATTTTCAGGGTGAAGCGGCCGCCGGGCTCTCCGCCTGTCTTCAAGGCGCGTTACGTTGCACGAGGCTTCAGTCAACGAGAGGGAGTTGACTTCTTCCAGACCTTCTCCCCGACCCCGAAGATGACCACTCTTCGGGTTCTGCTGCACGTCGCCGCTCAGCGTGACTACGAGCTCCACTCGCTTGACTTCAGCACAGCTTTCCTGCAGGGCAGCCTGCACGAGGAGATCTAGCTGCGCCGTCCACCTGGCTTCACTGGGTCGTTCCCTCCTGGCACTCAGTGGAGCCTCCGACGGCCAGTCTATGGTCTCCGCCAGGCGCCTCGTGAGTGGCACGACACACTGAGGACTACGCTTGCGGCTCTTGGGTTCGCGCCTTCTACTGCTGACCCGTCGCTGTTTCTACGCACCGACACCTCACTGCCGCCGTTCTACGTCCTTGTGTACGTCGACGACTTGGTCTTTGCTACTGCTGACACTGTGGCACTCGCCCACGTGAAGTCGGAGCTGCAGAAGAGACACACGTGCACAGACCTGGGTGAACTGACAAGCTATCTTGGCTTGCGGATCACCCGGGACAGAGCACGCCGCACCATCACCTTGATTCAGTCACACATGGTGCAGCAGGTCCTTCAGCGCTTCCGCTTCACGTACTCCTCGCCTCAGCCCACTCCTCTGCCTACCGGTCACTCGCTCTCAGCTCTGCCTTCGGATGAGTCCGTAGAGCCGAGTGGCCCGTATCCAGAGCTTGTGGGTTGCCTCATGTACCTGATGACCTGCACTCGACCAGACCTTGCATACCCTCTCAGCATTCTTGCACGCTATGTCGCTCCCGGCCGTCACCGGAAGGAGCACATGGATGCAGCTAAGAGGGTGTTGCGCTACTTGTGCAGTACGTCGGGCATGGGGCTAGTGCTTGGAGGGCGAGTCCCAGTTGTTCTCACTGGGCACTCAGACGCTTCTTGGGCAGACGACCAGGCTACTCAGCGGTCGTCTCAGGGTTACTCCTTCAGTCTTGGCTCTGGTTCTGTTTCTTGGCGTTCTACTCGCTCTTCTTCTGTTCTCAGCTCCAGTTGTGAGGCTGAGATCTACGCCACAGCCATGGAGGCCCAGGAGCTACGCTGGTTCACCTACTTGCTGACCGACCTTGGAGAGCAGCCTTGTTCTCCTCCAGTGCTGTACGTCGACAACAAGGCAGCCATTGCCTTGTGTGAGGAGCACAGACTGGAGCACAGAAGGAAGCACATTGCTCTGCGTTACTTCCTTGCTCGAGAGCTGCAGCAGCGTGGCCAGCTTCGCCTGCGTTATGTGGCCTCTGAGGCCAACACTGCTGATGTGTTCACCAAGGCGCTTCAGCCTTGTGACCATCAGCGCTTTTGCACTCTTCTATGCCTTGTGCCTACTGGACCTCACTTGCTTACTTCTTGAGTCTGTTTGTACTGTGATCTCTATATATATACCTGCATGTTTACTCTTGTTAGGTTGTGATCATTGTACCTTTTGCTCTATTATAAACCTGCATGTGAACTGGTCTTGTGACCACTTGCTTGTGCTCGGAATTTGTGTGGTATCCTTGAGATCCACCCTGAGCTTGTTTTGCCTTGCTTTGCCTTGACTGGTCTTGTGACCCCTAGTTCTCCCCCACTTTGCCTATGGGGGTGTGTCAAACATTATATATGTTGTGTTAGTTTAGGCTACAGTGGGTTAGCCTATAGGGGGTACACAATTCTAGGGTTAGGTACTTGTACTCATTTCACTGCTAGTTCATCCATTTCCTGTTCAGTGATTCCAACAATCTCGAGCTGTGAGAATCCCAACCACTAGACCATTGGGATCAAAGGGCTTGTTTCAGTAGCGGGTCAGTGCTCCCATAACCCTCCAGGCGAACGCGCCTGTAACCCTCTCCATGATCAATCGGGCATCCACAGTGCAGATCTACTGACACCCCCCCACACTGGGAGGCCCAGGACTAAGCACAGCGGCAACGGCCTACATGTGCATACACCGGGAATCGAACCCGAGACCGCTCTGATACCATGTCAGAATCCCAACCACTAGACCATTGGGATAAAAGGGCTTGTTTCAGTAGCGGGTCAGTGCGCCCATAACCCTCCAGGCGAACGCGCCTGTAACCCTCTCCAGGATCAATCGGGCATCCACAGTGCAGATCTACTGACACGAGCGTCCCGAAGTCAAACGTCGACACTGTCAATTTTGACACGGCGAGCTCCCAGCCATCGTCCACACCTACCAAGAGGAGGTTTGACGTGCGTGGAATAATAATATTCACTTGGTGTTTTGTTTTGCTAAACAATCTTTATGTTATGTAACTACCAATGTTGTTCCATTGATTTTTTTGTTTCAATTTTCAAATTCTTGCAGCAATGGTGAAGACCGTGACGCGTGAAGTTGGTTAAGAATCATTTGTTTTTTCTCTGGGTCTTTTTGAAACAATATAGTTAAGGAAATGTGGGTGGGAGATAAACTAGACAATGCCATATGGATTTTGCTTTTTGGGGTCCTTCTATTCGTCGACTGCAAATGATTGCGTGACTAATTATGTTTGTGTGAGTAAGTATGTTTGGTTATGCGTATGTAAGTGTGTATGTATATGTATGTACCGGTATGTATGTATGTATGAATGTACATATGCGTGTATTTGCGTGTGTAAATTCAACCATTACAATAGCAATGCATGTCTGTGATTTTTAAAAAGAAAGCTCAACTCTATCATTTCACAAAAGGTTCATTGGCGCACTCATTGACTCGTGTGCGACCACTTCGAACTGGATTTGATAGAGTTGACTTTTTTTTTTTTTTTTTTAGATTTCACAAATTGTGTTGTTTCATGTGACAATTGATTATTCAAAAGTTAAGCTATTGACCCCCCCCCCCCCCATGCTAGGCAGGAGATGGCGGTAGCTTAGTTTTTGGGTTGTTAACTGTCACGCATATTACGGTATGGTGTGCATGTGCATCATTCATGATATATCACATTAAGCATTATGCATTGTATAGCATCATTTATGCATTATGCATACATCTATTTATTATTGTCACAACAACATCTACCGTAACAATAAACATATAAACCAAACAGTACAACAAAGGTGCACAAAACAACTGCAAAAAAAATATATGGTTTAGTGCACTGATAACAGTACTGGATTTAAAACTGCTCAACATGCATACAGTATGGACAGGATACGATTGTAGTTTACAAATTTTATTTTAATTATTTATAAAAATATAAATATGAAAATATAATTTGGCAAAATCGATTATAAAGGGTTGCTTCGCAACCCAAAAAAACTAGGCTGATTGTTGGCGAACGTTGTGGGTGTGAACAAGTTCTGTTCCGCGCGAAAGTAGTTGCGCGAGCACTTCGAACTGGTAAACTGGGTAACAGCCACAAACTTTTCCCAGGCTAGCACCGCTAGCAACCAGGTTTTTCTAGGTCGTCGCTTGTCTGACATATCCACCCCTCCCACCCGAATTCGTCCAATTGGAAAGCCTACTTCTGTCCAGCTCCAACCCCCATGCGAACACGTCACCGCTCTCATCCTCTACCCTCTTGTGCTCATCTCCACCTGTCACCCCTTCTCAGCATTCAATATTTTCACATCCACCTCGCTTACTCGACTTCTTCGGTTCCTTGCTTCCATTCAGTGGAAATTCTATCTCCTCTCAAATTCCGAGTTTCAACCTGCTAGAGCCAGCACTACGACACCTTTCCCTACGCTACAATAAATCTGCCGCCGTATCTTGGCATCTCGTGCCGCAGCATTTCCAAGCCCACTTGAATTCACGACGTGTGGACGCTCCGACCACTCACCGCCATCAGCTTTTTCATACCATTCATTTTTCATACCGCCGTCCATCTTCCTGCCTGATTAATTACCCGCTTGGAAGTAGCGAGCTGCTTCCATTTCCTCAGTCTCTTAGGCAGTTCCTTGGCCGAGGTAAGCTTCGATCAACTGATATTCTCTCACTTGTAACTTTTTTTTTCAAACAGCCGTTTTGCATTCTTCAAGTCTGTTCGTTTCGTTGATGGCCGTTGGAAATTCACGCGTCATTGACCAAATCCCACCTGCAATCTCGCCGATTCCTTCCCGAAACCTTCCCAACCTATTTACCTGGATCACAGTACCCTCGCTCACAACCGTCTTGAAGCACGACTGTCGCAAAGACGTCCTAAGCACGCCATCACGCCATGGATAAGTACACTCGCGTGGAGAAGCCGCGCACAGAGGCGCCGATCAGCGAGAATGAGATCCGAATCACCGTCGCGGGGAAGGTCCGCAACTACGTCACCTACGCCGCCACTCTCCTCCAGGTCGGTGATGTTCGGTGACGGTCGGTGGCAGTGGGTGTTTGGGGGGTGATGTTTGGTGGCTCTATTGCACCTGATTGTCTTGCAGTTAGAAATCGTCGTTTTATGGTATTCGCATAAGTCTCAACAAGCTTAATTTCAACAATCTCATCTTCAAATATGTGGACGAACTTGGATAACGCTATTTTGTGTGCTCGCCACGAGCAAGAAAGACACCAGATGCTGCCTCACCTGTTCCCAAAGATTGCCCTTTTTCGGCGACACGCCTCTCCCTGCCCCGTTTGCCGACCCTGATTTCTGTTTTCGTTGTTTCCCTCTCCTGCTGTCCTCCTGAATTCGCCCAAAAGCGCCCCGCTCCTCTTCAACCCTCCCCACCACACTCCCCCCCCCCCCTCCCTCTCCCTCCCTCTACCCCAAAAATACTCCGGTTATTTTTTCCCCCCATTCGGCCTCTTTCCGCTCCCCCCTCTCCCCTTCTTCTCCCTTCCCCCTCCTCCCCCCCCTCTTTTCTTTCCTTCTTCCCTCGTTCTTCCTCCCAACTTCCCCTCTTCTTCCCAACGTCGTTCCCACCGCGTCCCTCCGCTTGCGCCACTGTCAATGCGCGCAGGAGCGCGGGCAGAAGGAGGTGGTGGTAAAGGCGATGGGGCGCGCAATCAGCAAGGCCGTGCTCGTTGCGGAATCCGCGCGGGTAAGGGGGGAATGGGGGGAAGCGTGAGGGGAGGGGGGAAATGAGTGTAGTTGAAGGCATGTGGGAATGCTGGAAGGGGAAGAGGGAAAGAGAGAGAAAAGGGAAAGGGAGAGGGTTACGGGGAGGGTGAGGGGAGGGAGAGGGGGAGGATGAAGGGGAGAAGGCGGAAGTCAGCCATTGTTGATGATGCGATGCGAAGTGCCGGGAACAATTGATACGGGGAACTTGATTGAATTGAATCAGTGCTGCTTTCTTATTGCTTCCGTTGTACTTACTGATCCTTGGATTCATGTTTGACATCACCATGGCTTGTGTGACTGAATGTACCACCTGGCATGGCATGGCATGGCATGGCATGGGAGGGCATTGGGATGGCATTCTACGGCATGGCTTGGTGATGCATGATGCATGTGTGCATGTGCATGTGGGCATGGGTGCATGTGTGTGTGCAAGCAGCGTCGCATCCCGGGCTTGCATCAGAGCACCGTGATAGGCTCAACGGACATCACGGACCTCTGGGAGCCTCTCGAGGAAGGCCTCTTGCCGTGAGCCCTGCCCCTGCCCCTGCCCCTACCCCTGCCCCTGCCCCTGCCCCTGCCCCTACCCCTGCCCCTGCCCCTGCCCCTACCCCTGCCCCTGCCCCTGCCCCTGCCCCTACCCCTGCCCCTGCCCCTACCCCTGCCCCTGCCCCTGCCCCTACCCCTGCCCCTGCCCCTGCCCCTACCCCTGCCCCTGCCCCTGCCCCTACCCCTGCCCCTACCCCTGCCCCTACCCCTGCCCCTGCCCCTGCCCCTACCCCTACCCCTACCCCTACCCCTACCCCTGCCCCTACCCCTGCCCCTGCCCCTGCCCCTGCTGCCCCTGCCCCTGCCCCTGCCCCTGCCCCTGCCCCTGCCCCTGCCCTACCCCTACCCCTACCCCTGCCCCTGCCCCCCTGCCCCTGCCCCTGCCCCTGCCCCTGCCCCTGCTGCTGCTGCTGCTGCTGCTGCTGCTGCTGCTGCTGCTGCTCCACGCTCCCACTTCTCCCTCTGCCCGTTGCTTGCTACCTTCAACCCCCTCAGTTCCAACCCCCTGCATTCCTCCTCTGTATCAACAAACCCCGTCTCTTGCAGTAGATACACCCCACTATAACCATACAGTTTACAGTTTTTCGTATCACTTTTATTGCTCCGTCTAGCAGTTAGGTGCCTCGGGAATCCATTCAAACGTTACCCCATCACCATGGCACCCACCACTGTCAGTCCAACCTTTCTAATTATTGAAAAAAAAAAATCATTCCTAAATGCTGTGGCAGGTTGGAGACCACACGCCACGTGTCCATGATCAGCATCACCCTCTCCTCTGAACCGCTAGACACCACCGCTCCAGGGTATGTATGCGCCCCTTCCACTTCCCTTTGGTACAAGTTGGGTGTTAGACTCACAACCCACACGCCACGTGTCCATGATCAGCATCACCCTCTCCACTGAACCGCTTGGCACCAGCGCTCCAGGGCATGTGCCTCTTTCCTTCTTCCACTCCCTCTTCGCACTTGCCGCCACATTTTTTTTTTCCTATTAGACAATCACCCCTCTCACACACGTAGTCTTAGAGCCCACTCCCCCCCCCCTGGCCCTTCCCCTTCCCCCTCTCTCCGTTTCCTCCACACCCCTGAGGCCGCACCTCTTCTTCCTTGCCCAGTCGTCCCCCACCCTCCCTTCCTGTCTCGTTTCTTTGCATCTCCTCTTGCTTCTTTCCTGCCTGTTCCTTCCACACGACACTTCTTTCAACATCTCACCTCCGTGTCTTGCTCCTCTCTTTACTTTCCTCCTGTACCAATCTCGTTAACCCCTATCATTCTCATTCTCCGTCTCCTTCTCCCCGGTTTCGCCACCCCTCCGCCCCCTCCCTTCCTTCCCCCCGCCCTCCTCTACCATTTCATCCCACTCTTGTTCAACCCTGCAGCTACCAGCCCCCGCTGACAGAGGAGGAAATGGCACGACTCCCGGAAACTTTTGCAGAGGGGGGAGGTGCTCTCTCTCCTTATCTCACCCGCAGCCAGCCGCGGACCATGTGTCGTCGTAGACCATGCATGCACCTCGCACCATGCACCTCGCACCATGCACCATGCACCTCACACCATGCACCATGTGTTTCCTGTTACTCACCACCTCCACCTCCCCTTCTTGGGTCCGTTAAGCCAAGCCCTGTTCCACTGCTCTTTCTGCCTCACTAGCACTCCGCCCATGCATGCCTGAAAAAACTCGAGCGGCATTCACATTTACTTTTACATGCCTCCATGACCGTTTGAGTTCTCGATTTTCCTCACTTTAAAGCAGCGTGAGATGTTATATATATATTAGGGTTTCGAAATCAGGACAGCAGGGTTTCCGATTTTCCTCATTTCATCTTCAATTTCGTGTCTCGTCTCTTCCTTATCTTCTCTCTTTTCCACCAGAGCGGGGTGGGCGACGAGGCAGGGGTCGTGGGCGGGGCGGCAGGGGAAGGGGCCGAGGAAGAGGGGGCGCCATGGGAGCAGTGGGGGGATTCCCTGGCGCGGCAGCAGCAGGAGGAGCTGTGCCTTCGCAGCAGGGCGATGCTGCTCAGTATCCTTCGCATGGTATGCTACCTTGCACACTTGCCCCTTCCCTTCCCAAAGCCTTTAAAATTCTTAGTGAAGGATCACAGTGAGGTTACCACATGTTCCACCTTGTAAAAGCCATTTGTCGCTCGCTCGCTCACATACACAATCCATATCTCACCTTGTCTCTCCTTCATCTCGCTCCCAACTCTCCCCAATCCTGTTCCCCTTTCCCACCCCATCATCAGCAGCACCTGGCACGGCTCCATACAACCCAGAGGGGGGTGATGCAGCAGCAGCAGGGGCAGGGGCAGCAGTGGGGGCGGCAGGAGCAGCAGATGCGTCAGGTCAGCCCGGAAGGGGCAGGGGGAGAGGCCGCGGCAGGGGCCGGGGCAGGGGGTATGGCTACAGGGGCCGTGGGGGGAGGGACGGAGCAGGGGGGGCTGCTCCTGGTGCGGGTGGTGAGGGTGGTGGGGAAGGGGGTTCTCTGGCGCATGAGGGGCAAGGAGGGGGTTTTGCGGGAGGGAATCAGGAGCAGGGGGGTGCTGGTCAGGACCGGCAGCAGCAGGAACAGGGAGGGGCAGCGGGGGGGAATCAGGGGGGTAGGTCTGGACGTGGGCGGGGGAGGAGCAGGGGGCGTGGGCGCGGCCGCGGTCGTGGTTATTATGCTGCCACTGGTGGTGACGCTGCTGGTGGTGTTGCCGGCGCTGCCGGTGCTGGTGCTGCTGGTGATGCCGGTGCTACCGGTGCTGCCCCTGATGCTGCTGCAACAAGCTCTGCCCCAGCCGTGTCTACGGCACCTCCCCCTGCCCCTGATGCTGCTGCTGCTGCTCCAGCTGCTGCTGCTGCTGTGGTCTAATTGATCCAAACGCATAGGCTGGCTGCTCCGGATTGTGGGCCAAATTCCTAAGCGTATGAGGCTTGGACAAAGGAACTCGTGTGGTCGAGGGAATTCACAGTCGAGGTGATGGTTTTGACTGGGGTTGATTCAGCATGGGTTCTTGGGTTGGTTGACTCACAATGTCGATCATCGATTCGGGATGGTTGGATGGATGGAAAGGGGAAGGGAATCAAGTACTCTCAAGGAGAATGGACAAAGCTAGGAACTTGCAATGCAAGATGGGTGCACAGGCAGCTGCAATTAGGGTCACCATTGGGAGACTGGACGATGAAGGATGGGTGGGTGTCTAATTGTGATTGCTCGCACCACCCAGGTACAAATACGCAGCTCTCTAGAAACTAGAACCACTTACTGGACGCCAATTGCTAGGGCCCCATTGTTACACCAAGTGGCGATTGGTCAGCGAAACATATGGTACGGTATGCTTTCCACACCGAAGGAGATTTTCACTGGTGAGGTGACAGTTGACATGCCCACCAAATCTCGTCTCTGCTTCCTGTGAGGGCCTGAGGAAACCCCATGAACATTTTTACAGGTAGCAGGTCTTCCTATCGCCAGCAAGCCTGCAAGCAACCAAGCATTGCCTTCTGTGACTCTCCAACCCATCCATGCTATCTACCTTCCATCCAGAATCAACCACGATGCAGTGTGCATGGACCTGCTGAGGTGACCATCTAGGGAATGAATCTTGAGGCAAAGCTGTAGCGGGTACTGCCGATGCTTTTGGTCCGATTGACTCTCTCCTGTCAGAATGAGCATGGGCTAGTGTGGAATCTGGATGGACTGACTCAAGTGATCGTCTGCGGAATTGGATTGGGAGGTAGATAGGTTGTGATGCTGCCTGTTATGAGGCATCTCAAGAACTGCCACACAGCCATGCATGGACTCAAGTGGTCATCCACGAATAGGAACTGGTGGTAGATTGTAGCGGGTGATTCAAATGCTGCCTGCGTTCTGCTCTTGCCACCCCACTCCTCTCTCCTGCAAGTACCGGTGCGGTGCACCGGGTGGATACGCACAGCGGCAGCAGTGGGATGGTGAGGTGATTTTTCCAGATTGAGAGCATTATGTGCGTTATACGCAGGTGCAGCATAGCTCTATGTGCAAAGCAAGAGCCTCAAGGACAGAACTCTACCCATCCCCTCCCAAAGCATTATAGAGAGTCAGACTGGAGAAGATTTGATGTACTGAACTGAACCCCTCCGACTCTCCGCCTCCTCCTCCGTCCCTTCCCCTTCCCACTTTTCCCCCAACCTTACCGCAGGTTTGATTTGGCTTGCCCAGAAGCGCTGTGCTTGCCTCTACCTCTGATGTCCGCTATGCTGCTCAGAGCTGCACACAGCATCAATACACCATGAATGCAGCAGCGCATTCATGCAGCACCCCATGCATACACACACCTCACACACACACAACAGAGACAATAGAACAGCACCCACCAGCATCAATCACCACCCCCCCACACACCAAGTCTTTGGGGCTCCTGGCACAGCATGAACGAGCTTGGGAAGGGGACAGACCAGAGAGAGGAGGGAGAAGAGAATATGCAGAGAGACTGGAGAGACGGAGGGATGGAGAGGGGTGGTGTGGGTTGTCGGTACGCCGCAGAGCGATATGAGGGGGAAATGTGATGAGGAAAGGCAAAGGGAGAGTGGCATGGGATGGCGCGAGGGGCAGAAACAATGCGATGAAGCGTGGAGGGAAGAGGAGCATTGGACGATGTGAGCAGGGAGGGGACTGACTAGGCAGGTGTCATTTGAGTTGACTCAACGGGTAGAAGCGAAAAGGCAAGCAGGAAGTGGGGGGACGGAATGGGTAGGGTTTGCAGAATCGTGAGGTGCAGGTGCTGCAGGTGCCGCAGGTGCTGCAATTCCTCGTCCATGTCTACGTTGTGCACATCGACACCCATCTTGTTTCCCAGCCGCTCGTTGCTGTGCGGACAGAGGCACTGGCACGGGCACAGGCACAGGCACGGGCACAGGCACAGGCACAGGCACAGGCTCAACCACGCAAGTGCAGTCAGATATGAAACATATAAACACAGTAGGGGAGTTGGAGGTAGCAAGGAACAACAGTAGTGCAATTAAAAAGAAACTAATTCGACTGTGGCTGCCAAATAACACAGGAAAACAACCGGGTGAAGGGACAAGCTGTTTGGGGAGAAGCAGAAGCACAAAGCACTGAGAAAGAACCCCGATGGTGAGGGCAGGAGCAGCTGAGATGGGTGCTTACTTCCCTGAAGATGCGTTGCCCTGCTGCCTGCATGAGCTCTCGATATTATTCCCCATACTCGTGACCCTGGAAGAGGCCTCGGAGAGAGTGAGCGTCCCCCTCCCCTTCCCCCGAGCTCGCTCCCCCGCGCCTCTCCCAAGCGGGCAGCACTGTCCGCCAGAGATACTCCTTGCGCACCCACGGCACGAACCGCCCCATCAACACAGAGGCACCTCCTCCTGCCTCCTCCGCCCCATCAGCACCGGGTCAAAGAGCGCGCACGCGGGGAGCAGAGCATGCCACGTGGCAGGTTGTTGCCACCGATGCGGCTGCTGCGCACACGTGGCAGCACGAGCGAGCGAGCGCCCCCAGTGCGCGAGGTGCGCCTTGCTCAGCCGCTCGGATGGCGCCGTGGCTGGGGGGCGGATGCGGAGGAAAGGGGGGAGGTGGGGGGAAGGAGAAGAGGGGAAGAGGGGGAGAGAGGGAGTAGGGGGAGTAGGGGAGACGGGGAAAAGGGGAGTAGGGGGAGAGGGGGAAAGGGGGAGTAGGGGGCCGTTGGGGAATAGGAGTGGGGGAACCAGGTGCAGGCGCGCGATTGCTAGCGGAGGGAGCTGGATACCGCGTGAGGAGGTAAGAACAGGCGCACATACACGACTGTTGAGGCGAATTAACAGAGGAGGTGAGAGAAGGCGCTTTAACTGAGGATAGGAGAGAGGGGGAGGGGGAAACTGGGATCGAACGGCGCGGAGTACGTGGCGGTCTGCGACTCGTCGCACTCGAACGCGCTGCTTTGCGACGGCCGCCCCGCTCCGACAACGACGGCCGCCCCGCTGCGACGACGGCAGCGACGCCAGCGAAGCACATGTGCGATCTCGGCGAAACCGTCCGCGTCCCCCGCGACGGCCGTGAGAGATAGTAGCAGTAGCGCATTACTAGGTAGCACAATAGGCAGCGCATTAAGTAACGCATTAGGCAGCGCACTTGGTACAATTTGCTGGTACAAACTGCACTATACGTGCATTCGTCTTATTTTTAATTTCTTTAATTAATAACTAGACAACGAGGAGTTCTTAATAGTACAATCCTTGAAAAGTACAAACACTTTTTTATTAAATAACTAGATACAAGTCAAAACAGAAACGTCTTGCTAATTAGCCTTCTAAGCTCCCTAAGGCTTCAGTGTGCGCACGGCAGATCCACTTGCGCGTCCACAGCAGCTTGACTCTTCTTGACCAAACAGAGTCTTCTCGCGCGTCCACAGCAGCAGCTTCAAAGGGGACAACTTCAGCTGCAATCCGATTTAGCCAGCGCGGTTCGCAAATGCAATCCCCACGTGAAGAAGCTGAGGGGTCGTAATCTGCCCGCGGTCAGAAAAAATAAACCCCATCTGGATGGCATGCGATTAGGGGAGCCCCAACCCTAAACACGGGGAGCCCCAACCCTAATTTCGGGCAGCCGCATGGTGCTGCCGGAAAAGATTGCATTTGCAAACACGCACTGGGAAAATGAGATCGCAGTTCGAATTGACCGGCTTCGAAGTCTTCTTGACCCCTCTTGGCCGTCAGAGGCAAATGCCCCTGACGTTACACCCACGCACCACGATGAGGTGGGGGCCATTCGCGTGGGACCTGCTTGGGAGGGGGGCAAACGGTCAAAACTACAGTAGAAACACGGGCAGATGAATAAATTAGCACATCGGGTCAGACAACTATTGTCAGAGTGCCGTAAGGATGACCGCCAGCCGTCAAGAGAAAGAGGCATACCTGAACACACCTGACCACAACCCATCCCATCGCCCACGTGATTGTGCCTAATCAAACGCGCGCTCCTAAACGTCCTGTTACACACCTCGGATCGGATGGTTCTCGTTGGTTGTCAGTGTCAGAATGTTATGCTCTAGCCTGTAGTGGGGTGCTCTATAGCGAGTACAACCCTTCTAGGGTTTGCTATTTGTATCCTCATTCTTGCTAGTGCAATCCCGTCTTTTGCCTAAACTGTCTCTTGCCTAGCTATGACTCTCCTAGCTGTGGCTCCTAAGACTGCTTATTTTCACATGGTATTAGAGCGATATGCTCCTGGCCTGTGGGCCCCACCTCACTGCTTCCGCTGCTACTGCTACTCCCTGTCCGCCGCGCGCCCCGTGGTGCGCGGCGTCGAAATTAGGGTTTTTCAGCCCGCCGTGCGCCCCGAGGCGCGCGGCGGTTTTCTGCTCGCCGTGCGCCCCGAGGCGCGCGGCGGTTTTCTGCCTGCCGTGCGCCCCGAGGCGCGCGACGGGTTTCTGCCCCATCACTCGGCGCGTCGCCCCCAGGAGGCGCTGCGACGGGCGACGGGGACCCGCGCGTCGCCCCCCGTCGCCCGTCGTGGCCTGCGCGCGGCCCGTACAGCCGGCGCGCGGCCCGTACGGGCTGCGCCAGGCCCGCGCGCGGCTCGGGCCGCCTGCGCGCGGTTCGGGAGGCTGTGCCAGGCCCGTGGGCGGCCCGTTCTTTGCTGCCCCTGTCCTCCCCGCTGTCCCCCGTGCTTCTGAAGGCGCCCCACCCCTCCTTCTGCCCGTTCTCCTGGATTAGGGTTTGGGGGTGGGGGGTATGGGGGTGCAGCTTCTGTGTGCCGTTCCAATGCTCCTCCTCCTCCTCCGTCTCCCAGTACTGCAGCTGCCGATGAGGGGGGGTGGACCTGTTGGAGCCGTTGGAGTGGTACTAAGGGGGGGTGAAGGGGGAGTGGAGCTAGGGGTGAAGCAGGGGGTGTGTGTCACGGGGGGTGGTACTGTTTGGGGGAGGTTGAACGGAGGTTGCCGTCGTGTCGCCAGCAGCACCTGTAGTCCAGGGAGTTGCTCCGGTAGCCCAGTCGTAGCCACCTGTGCTAGTCGCCAGTGGGTCCGTTGCTCGTCTGCCGCTACTTTTAGCCGCGGGGCCAGTTACTCCAGTAGTCCGGAGCGCTGTTCCGGTAGCCGCTGTGCCAGTGTGCCTCCTGTTGCCCGTGTGTCTGCAGCTCCAGCCGTCGCCTCCTATCTCCTCTCCTCTCACTGTCCCTCCTCCTCCTCACTTGCCCGTTGTGACTACCACTAGCTTTGCTCATAATTGTGAACTTTAAACTATTGCTTCTTGAACTTGTGCTCAGAATGTGTGGTGACATTGTGATCCACCCTGAGCTTGTTCTGCTTTGCTTGCTCTGCTGATTACACCCCACTTTGGCTATGGGGGTGTGTCAGAATGTTATGCTCTAGCCTGTACTGGGGTGCTCTATAGCGAGTACAACCCTTCTAGGGTTTGCTATTTGTATCCTCATTCTTGCTAGTGCAATCCCCTCTCTTGCCTAAACTATCTCTTGCCTAGCTAGGACTCTCCTAGCTGTGGCTCCTAAGACTACTGCTTATTTTCACAGTCAGGAGGAGTTGCCATGATGACCCAACCCAAACCATCGCCCATGTGCATGTGCCTAATCGAGGGCCTATCGCTCCTAAACGTCCAGTACCCACCCACACCGAAACACATCTTACATGCCTGGCGCTTGCGCTGGTTGATCCCGCTCCTGCCAAAGCTGCAGGAAAGGGCGGGACGGGAGGGGGGAGTCAAACTCCTCCAACCTCGCTCCTTGCTCCTCACTCCGCCTCCTCGCTCCGGCTTCTCCCCGCTCCGCGCCCGACACATCGTCGCCTGCGCGTGAGGGAGTCCGCGTTGACCTCCCTTGTCGCCGCCGCCAGCGCCGTTTGCTCCCAATCGTCCTGCGCTGAGAGAAGAGCACACAACGAAAAAGCTAAGAATCCGGAAAAATAAACGAATGGAAACTGAAACTGCACCATACCATGTGAGGGAGTCGGCGTAGCTTGAAGTTCCGTTGCCGGCAGCGCCGCTCCCGCTATTCTGGTCCTGCGCTAAGAGAGAAAACAACGAAAAAAAAGTAAGTATTCGGGAAAACAAACGAATGGAAACTGAAACTGCACCTTATCATGTGAGGGAGTCGCCGTGCGAGGCTGGCGGACGGTACGGTTCTGCAGGAAAAAAACAAGAGGCCGTCAAGAAACTGAAAATTGTAAGAAGCTAAGAACGAGCGAGGATTGAATGAAGGTCACGTTACCCCGAGTGAGGTGCTGCTGGTAGCATTCGCGCCTCGCAAAGGAGGTGGTCAATCGTCATTAGAAGGCCTGCAGGAGACGGCAACAAGATAGTCAGCTTGTTTCCCCAAAAGCGATTGCAGAAAGAGTTTTGTTTCAACGATGTTGCAGAAAAGCAAACGACGGGCGATTGTCAAAACGACGCGATTACCTCCAATGCGTCAGCGAAGACTTGGCGCGACGGGGCAGGGGAGGCGCCGCGATGAGTTTTGACAAGCCGCGAGCGTGACTGCGTCGCCGCTTTCGAGTAAGGCGGCTCGCCGTGGAAGAATCTTGGCGCCAAGAGAGGCGATTGACTTGCTCTCTGAACGCCTCCCGCGAGAGAAGATGCTCCCATAAATGGCAAGACGCTCGTCTGCAGGAAAAAACGTGAAACGAGTTAGAAACATTCTCAAAAACAGATCTAAGGACGGTTTAGAAAACGAATAAAAGGACACATACCTCCTCTCGACCTTCTTGGCGGATCTCCGCGAATGTCGCCGCGCCACCGGCGAGCACATCTCGGTGACGACTGCGATGAAAAGCCGCGAGCGTTACTGCATCGTCGCTTTCGTGTGTGTCAGAATATGTTGTTTGTGTAGCCTGCAGTGGGGCACTCAATAGTGAGTACAGCCCCTTAGGGTTTGTTATTTGTATCCTGCTGCTTGCTAGTTCCATCATTCCTTCTCAATTCTATTCCTGCACACAATCCTAGCTCGCACTTGGCGCCTCCTCGTTCTAGTCCTACTGTGGCCTAGGCTACTAAGCCTAGGCCGTACTGCTACTATCTTTGACATGGTATCAGAGGGCGGCATGTCTGCCGCCTTCCTGTGTATGGGCCCACCACCCGCTTCCGCTGCCGTACTGTCCGCCGCTCGCCACGTGGTGCGCGGCGGCGAAACCCTAATTTCTGCACGCCGCGCGCTCAGGGCGCCTGGCGGGTTTCCCTTCCGTGGCGCCCGTCGTGGTGCCCTTGGGGGGGCCTGCGCGGTCCCCTCCCGTCAAAGCGCTCTCGGGGACCCGCGCGGCCTCCCCTCCCGTCGCCCGTCGAGGCGACCGCGGGGACCCGCGCGGCCTCCCCTCCAGTTGCCCGTCGAGGGGACCTTGGGGGCCCGCGCGGCCTCCCCACCAGTCGCCCGTCGTGGCGACCACGGGGGCCGTGCGCGGCGCCCTCCCCGTCGCCCGTCGAGGCGACTTCGAGGGCCGTGCACGGCCCTCCCCGTCGCCCGTCGAGGTGACTTCGGGGGGCCCGCGCGGCGCCCTCCCCGTCGCCCGTCGAGGCGACTTCGGGGGGCCCGCGCGGCGCCCTCCCCGTCGCCCGCCGAGGCGGCTCTGGGGGCCCGTCGCGGCGCCCTCTCTGGTGCCCGTCGCGGCGCCCCGGGGGGGGGGGGGGGGGGGGGGGGGGGGGGGCGCACGGCTCCCTTTCTCGTCGCCCCTCGGGGCGCCCTGGGGGCCGTGCGTTTCCCCCCCCCCCCCTCCCCCCCCCCCCCCCCCACCTCCTCCTACCTCTCACCTGCAGCGGCCGCCCCTGGAGCCGCCCGCCACTGCAGCAGCCGCCCCTGGAGCAGCCCGCACCTGCAGCAGCCGCCCCTGGAGCAGCCCGCACCTGCAGCAGCCGCCCCTGGAGCAGCGCGCACCTGCTGCAGCCGCCCCTGGAGCAGCCAGTGCCTGCAGCAGCCGCCCCAGGACCTGTGCGAGCCGCCCCTGCGGAAGCCCGTCCCGTCCCCCCCCCCCCCCCCGTGCTGCCCATTGCTCCCATTCCGCCGTGCGTTCCGCG